CATGGTGCGCGAGTGTTGGCCTTAAAACTGAATTTCACAATATCTAAATACAATACTCAAAAGGTAGATATCATACTAATAAGACCAAAGACTTTATGATGAAATAATGAAGTACTTACCGATCTCCACCAAGCTATTTTGCTAATCCCGGCTACACTCACATTCTTGTTTACGCCATGCATTGATCGTTCAAATGAAACACGCCTCGTATCCAAATAACTGGCTTCTGTGTTTCATTACTTCCACTACCAAAATACATCAGTGCTTGAGTACATGACTCCCTGATGAATAAGGAAAGATCCCATTTCCAAAGTATTCCCTTGCCGTGAAGTGTTTCCTAAAGTTTGGGAATTCTGGCTGTCACTGTGGAATGCGTGCGTTTCGGTGTGATAAATGGACTACTTGAGAATCTTCGTGTGTATTTTTGTGTGGTAAATGGATAACTTAAGAAACTTAGCGTGTGTTATAGATTTTTTTCGTTAAGTGATATTTTTTGTTTTTCTTTCAAAGACTGCTGAAATCTATGGTCTGTTCAAGTTATGTTTAATAAAGTAAGTTCCTTAGCTGTTAACTTCGATATCTATAACGCCGGCATTATATATCCTACAAGGTGAGTGAGTATTTATGCCTTATGTTCTGATATCAATGCGTGGAGAAGCACTCGGCAAACTATATATGAAAATCAGTAGAGAAACTATGGGGATACTTCTCGTCACTGGATGGCATGACGAGAATTCCTAATTTGCGAAAATATCCCGACAACAGTTAAATATGACAAGTAACTGAGCACTTTTACTCAACAGTGTAGTAGAATCATGCTACTGTCCCGAATGTTTGAAAGACCAGGTGTCCCTACAAGTACTGAATTCTTCTGAATGGATCTGAAAGTCATTGCAAAAGTACTTGAAAATACTTGATTGATGTGGCAATGAAGAGCCGTCTCAGAAATGCGCCTCGGGTGAAATGCAAATTGACGTTTTGATAACATAGCGCGCCCTTTTTAATAGTCTCTGTCAGTCTATTATACGTTAATCGCTCAAGTACTTAAAATGATAATGTTAGCAGTCAAACTTTTGTTAAATTGGTTACCTGATTAGGAAACCGGTCTGATGAAGGGGTAAGACTTTTGCAGTTTTGATAAAGTGAACAGAAGCAGTTATAATGCTACAACATCGTCATCGTCATCATCATTACCATCGTCATCGTCATCACCACCACCATCATCATCAGTATCATCATAATCTTTAAGCGACAGGAAATGCTTGCTAGCGTCTAAATGAAATATAACTTGCCTTTTCTCTTTTTCACAGAATATCCAGTGCAAGAATACCATTAATAATACCAATACCTTGCTCCACTCATTTGATCATGAAAAGATAACGGTTTTAGATAACTGATTTTTTGATGTTATAGAGTATATAATTGTACTTTGTCTCATATATAATTTTAACGGGGCACGAAAAAATCGTTGCGAGGGTCCGTCCAGAAGTCATATTTTTTTCCTAGTTACCTAAAAAATTGCAGTTTGATCAGATCTATTAATAAGGCCACTTCGTACTGCGGTTTTTTAAACTTCCGTTAACTTTTTCTCCGACTGTTTGTCATTGTGAATGATATTTGGGTCCATGTTCAGTTTTAGGCCATGCATATCTTATTCAAAAAAAAAAAAAAAAAAAAAAAAAAAAAAAAAAAAAAAAAAAAAATCGGGCCATGACTCCGAACTACTCGCGAAAGAGAGAACATACTCTGGAATGCACTCGAAATTTACGACTGCTGACGGTCCGCTGGCTCATTCAAAGTACTGAAAACATGACCTTGAAATTTGGACTCATTCTAAAGTTTGTTATTTCTCTAATTTCTTCGCTATGTATGTTATAAAAAAGTGTACTTTGAGATGAGATTTTTACCAAGTTAATCAGAATTGTTTTCATTAGGAATCATACTTTTTTTCTCTCTTTTCGGATACGAAAGAAGAGATTCCTGTCAGAAACGTTTAATAAATGCATTAAATCATTAAAACAGCTAATCTAATCCAGAAACAACTAATGATTTGTTTTAATCCGATTGTGAAGAAATGGGGAAACTGTGGATGACAATATCAGCACAAAATTATTATATGAGTATGATCCTAGCATGAATACAACATATCGATTCAAATGTGAGAATTATGGAGGCAAATTTGTAAAACAGATTTACGGAGAGAATTTCCGAAGCCGTTGAATTTTTCCAACGCTCCAAAAGGAAGGGGGAAGGGGAGGAGCTGGTCACTGAGTGGTAAATACACGCACATAAGATTTTAATCATCCTCATTTAATAGGACTAAACCCATTTTTACGTACATACGTACGTAAAAATACGTACAAAAATATTTGTTACCACAGATAAAATCGTTTTCTTAATTGATATTTGTTAAAATGTTCGTTGCGGGATTTTACTTATTTATGGTACCTACGGCCAACGGTAGTGTCCACAGGTTGTATTTCTTACTGGAAGCATATGCGTTAGTAGTATTAACTCCTTACGAAGCGAATGCATAAGATTGATGTAAAAATTCCACAAGTTTTTATTCCAGGCTGGATATCATTGTGTACTATAATCAACATAAAATAATCAATATTCCACTTATTTTTCCGAAGTTCAATATTCCAACTATGGGATGGTATTGAAGTGCTCCTTACAACAGAAACGAATTTGCCGACCATGGACGATACCGACCGTTAGAGCGAAATATTATTGTTAGTTATACTTTCATTTTTTTTACATTAGTACTTCGCACTCGGTACATATATAGACCACTACATAAGCTACAGCATATTGCCGGGGAGTCTCGGTAGAAAGCATATTTCATGTATAAATGCACACAAAACTCAATTTGTACATTTATACACTTAAGGATGATCTCCTTAAGCAGTATTTCTTACGAAGGTATATTCGAACCCGGTTAAATGCTTTTCTTGTATTGTGAAGATAATCATTCTCATTCGTTCACCGTTTTCTACTTTTGTCGCAATACGGTTCATATGTGGGTGTGGGTGTATGAGTGCGCTCGCACATGTACTCACATATAGATGATCAAGAAATACTACTTTGTCTTACTGCTTTTCATACATATATAAGCCTAAAAATTTGTGGTTTGCTTATCTTCACATTCTTATACTATTTTCAAAGAATTTTCGCTTTAAGACCGTTGCATAAAACGAATTAAATTTAAATACTTAGATGTTTAGCATTTTTAGCCATTAGGTAATGGTTTGCCATGCGTGCTAATCACCTTAACCCAATAACAACGGATTTATGTTCTGCCCCCTGTATTTATTTGTGAATTTTGTTATATACAGATGGCTCCACATATGCTCAGCTACCAAGTTATCTATCAGTAGGCCCTAGTGACCGCACCTGAATTTCCCATTCCTTGAATTTGCGGGAAAATGTGTTTTCTTTGTAATACTATTAATGTTGATACTGTTATTATTATACTTATATGATTTCTAAATTGTTAACAAAATATAAATAACATTCAAGACCATAAAATAATACAAATGAAGCTATACAAAATTCAAATAAAAGGGTAAACAATTAAGACAGGTAAGACTAATAACTTACACCTTGATGACTTGTAGAGCCATCTATGTATAAAGACAATAGATGAATTATTATTGCAGTGGACATGACACGTATGCATTCCATCCGGGCCGATTGGGTTAACGGATATATTGGCGTACTTCAATGGGTGGAGCTTGACCTTCATATATATATATATATATATATATATATATATATATATATATATATATATATATATATATATATATATATATTATATATATATATATATTATACATATATAAAATATGTTATATATATCTATATATATTTATATATATCTATATATATGTATGTGTTTATATATGTATGTATTTATAATATATATATATATATATATATATATATATATATATATATATATATATATATATATGTATATATATGTATATGTATATATATGTATGTATATATATATGTATGTATATATATATGTATGTGTTTATATATATGTATGTGTTTATATATATGTGTGTGTGTGTGTGTGTGTGTGTATGTATGTGTGTGTGTGTGTGTGTGTGTGTGTGTGTGTGTGTGTGTGTGTGTGTGTGTGTGTGTGTGTGTGTGTGTGTGTGTGTGTGTGTGTGTGTGTGTGCGCACAAACGCAATATATATATATATATATATATATATATATATATATATATATATATATATATATATATATATATATATTATATATATGTAAAAACTTCCTAACAGTGACCAGACAAAATGAAAGGTAAATAAGAAAAGGAAAATAAAATTTACTTTTTCTTTTTAAAAGATACTATACAAGAATATTTTTTTCCATTGTTGTATATTATATATATATATATATATATATATATATATATATATATATATATATATATATATATATATAACATATCATATACAAAACACACACACACACACACACACATACACACACACAAAAAAATATATATATATAATATAAATAGATAATTATATATGTATATATATAAATATACAAATATTAAACACACACACACACACACACACAAACACACTAAAAATAAAAAAAATATACATAAAAATAAAGGACCTTGTCATCTCTCACTGACATACTTTAAACTCTCAATTCAACAAAAATGAACACTAGGTCACTGTCCTGACAGATATCAAGCCCTACAAATGCTGTAAGTCACAGTGTTTTACTGCTGCTGTCTTTTGTCCTTTTGCAAATAAATTCAAGATTAAAGTAACCTCCCAGCTTTAGTAATTTGTATGTCGTATGTCATTACTTCCTTCAGCTGACTGAACCTAAATCTGTATTTGGATGCATTTTCATCTCTTATAGTTTATACTACAAATAAAATATATACTACAAATAACACATATGTGAGCAATATTGGCCTCTAAACACCCCCTGTTGTGGAATATGAAAGACAAAATGTGTACTGTCAGTTTTATTTCAAATCACACAATAAGTTTAAATCACAAGATATTAGTAAATACCAAATTACATTAGTTATTCTGAGGGTACAAGTCCTTCCCATAATTGCAAATATATTCTTTCCTGCTAAGTCATTTGGGTTATCTAAGCTTAACCTTACATAATCATGTCTATTATCATTACATAACATTTGTCCTGTAATCTTGGCTTATTGTGCACATACAACTGAATTATTAACTGTTGTATCTCCATGTAAATTTATTAATAACTTATCACTTTTTGTTTATATATATATATATAAAAATCAATCATTATCCCACTGGAAAATTTTGCTGAATACTTTCTACTTAAATTGTGAACACTTATGAGAAACTTGAAGATTCCTTTGTCCTTTCTGTTTTACATATAATATAAACTGAATAAATAAAACATGTACACGGGAAAAAATAAATAAATAAAATAAATAAACAAAAATAAAAACAAAGATATTCTCCAATTCCCTTCTCATGAGCGATTGACTTTGGAAATACAACCTTATGCCTCTAAAACAATACCAAGGCAAGCATTACAAAACTCTCCAGGTTTCCTAGACCACAAAATAAAATCAATCAAATCTTCTTAATATTGCAAATATATTCTTTCCTGCTAAGTCATTTGGGTTATCTAAGCTTAACCTTACATAATCATGTCTATTATCATTACATAACGTTTGTCCTGTAATCTTGGCTTATTGTGCACATACAACTGAATTATTAACTGTTGTATCTCCATGTAAATTTATTAATAACTTATCACTTTTTGTTTATATATATATATATAAAAAAATCAATCTTTATCCCACTGGAAAATTTTGCTGAATACCTTCTACTTAAATTGTGAACACTTATGAGAAACTTGAAGATTCCTTTGTCCTTTCTGTTTTACATATAATATAAACTGAATAAATAAAACATGTACACGGGAAAAAATAAATAAATAAAATAAATAAACAAAAATAAAAACAAAGATATTCTCCAATTCCCTTCTCATGAGCGATTGACTTTGGAAATACAACCTTATGCCTCTAAAACAATACCAAGGCAAGCATTACAAAACTCTCCAGGTTTCCTAGACCACAAAATAAAATCAATCAAATCCTCTTAAAAATTCAAAAATGCAATCAACTAAATATTCTCTGTAAGATGGGCATTGATAACAAACAGTATAGGTTAGTTTTCAGTACAGTCTCTCTATTTACAAGTGTCTGGAAGAAATTACAAAATATTTATATAACAGGGAAGAGCAATCATCATGGCAGCTTAGATCGAGTTTTTGTCTGGTTTTTGCCAGCAAAAACTGCTCACATTCACACATGCATGCACATTCCATCCACTAACGTACAGTCGACCTTTTGTGAGGGAAACTTTCACAGTACTGACTTAACCTAGTTCCTATTATGTATATTTTAAACATTACATTATTCCCCCTCTTCAGCAATAATGATTTGTATAAAAAAAGTATTTACAAGTCCTTCCTTTACACAGGGTATATGTTATATCCCCTCCCTTCCCAATGAATGAATTTTTTTGATTGGAAAGAAAAGTTCAGAAAAAAAAGAGAGAAAAAAAAGAATAAGAAATGGAGCTGGTAAACCTGAAACATTCAAAGACACCAATAACCCATTTCACATCACTTAGTTCCTGAGAACAACCATGAGAATAAAAATTGTAGTTGAGACCTCATTTTGTAGGAATATGACTAATCCCATATTCCTGGACAATGAATGTTTTAAAGTTTTTTTTCCATTGCTGGCTCAAACTCACTAGTACTATCACCAAACTAAGGGTCGTACATGATAGGCAAGCTCGTCTTACTGATCTACTTTGAAAAAATGGTCAACTATAGCAATATGATTAATCCATAACTGATACAGTTAATGGCATGCTACTGTTTTCTGAAAGTACTGAAAGTAAAGTATTCATTCCCATGCAGTGCTTCTGGTCTAATCTCACTAGTGAGTTTTCCCACTATAACACTTTTTACAGAGCAGAATACTATTTTACTCTATTCTCTTCTAAATACTCCTTTAAAATCACAAGTTACAACTGCATATAATTGCTACAGTAACGGCTAGTCCTTTACTTACATGATGCTAATGATATCCTTATTATCGCTCACTGAATATGGTGGAAGACATGTCAAGGGAAAGTTTACACGAGAAGAAGTGCGAACTTGATGCTTGCATGTGTCATCATAATACCAAATCATCACATGAATCTTGTCAAAGGAGACATAATTATTGATAATCATTCAACTTAAGATCAGAGCTCATGATAACAACAAATAACTTACAAGAAATACTTGTAGAGGTAAAAAAGTTGTATGAAAACAATTAAGTATTCGGTAAAGGTGACCGATTCTGATTAAACGAAGACAAGTCATTCACATGTAGAGAACGCTTTAAACTACTTTTAACATAAATGGTTAATTGAAGATCTCTGTAAAATAAAGGGGGACAATTTGATACAAAATTCACACAACTTACTTTCATGATTCATCCAAAGAGGAAGAAATCTGTGCTCAATCTACTGTTCTATTAGGGATGAGAGTTGGGGGGGGGGGGGGTCAATGCCAAATTATCATGCACTGCTAAAAACAAGGAAGAGCATAGTTCTGTACCTTTTTATCATTCTACACAAAAAAACATTACATAACACACACACACACACACACACACACACACACACACACACACACACACACACACACACACACACACACACACACACACACACACACACACACACTCACACACTCACTCACTCACTCACTCACTCTCATGCATCAGATGAGAAAAGAAAACAGGGTTGAGGAAACTAGCTAATAAAACTCTGCATAGGGGAAATACCAACATATGTACAATTGAAAATCGAGGCATTGTCATAAACAAAAAAGCAAAACGGAAAATATAGAAAATAAAACAAAAATGAAAATCAATGAAAAGAACTTAAGAGTAATCAGTTCACCACTTGTTTCTGCAAATATGTACAACATACCTAGCATGAAATCTAAAAAAAAAATAATAATAATAAAAATAAAAATAAAAATAAATAATCCTTTAGTTTTCTGCCACTATCAAACAAAATTTGGGTTTCTTAATCTCTTAATAAAGTATTTAAAGTAAACTAGTTTTTATACTTTGTTGCAGTGCATGATATTAAAAAATCTCAAGTAGTCACTTCCCATCAGCTTAACCATAAAACTATAAAAAGGCTGAAATTACCATGAAATAATAATAATCAGATGAGATTGACAGATAAGATAAAAACAGGTTTCTTTTATACATACAACTAATAAATACAAATGATCATTAAATTTCATGTGCTGAATTATATTCTGATTCCTTCTTAAAAACAAGAAAAGCCACACAGGATGAAAAGGAAAGGGAAAGGAAAATGATATAATATAATAATAATAATAATAATAATAACACTAAAAAAAAAGGGAAATAAAGTAAAATAACAAAAGGAAAAAGGGGACATAACAACATGAGTGAAAGTGAATCTTGCTTCTCCGTCCACGCGAAGCATTACAAGTGGACACTTATAACAAACTTAATGTTAACCCTAGACATGAGATATGTGATCTAGTCGGCTTTCTTCTTGCCGGGAGGAGGCTGGTGGATTGAACGAGGTCTTGTGCCGTTCTTGATGCTCTCTTGGTAAGTGAGGAAGATCTTGGCATACTCAGGTTTCCTCTTGGCATGGGCCTCGAAGTCCTCTGTTTACGGGAGAGTGAAAGAGAGAACAAGTGAGTATAATTCATACAATAATGTCATATTTCTTGATTTCTTTTTAATGCAATCATGATGATGCATGCAATATCAGCATGATGGTGTAATCATATCATGTTTGTATAATATCATTATTTGGAGAATAACATTTGTGTAATAATGATCATACGTTTCTACAATAATGTGTTTGTTAAACTACTGGCACCAGATACATGCCCTGTCCATTGTGGTTTGTCTTGTGAATTTTATTTTATAGATGGCTGCACAAGCACTTACACAGCCAGAAGTCATAATTAGTAAGCCAACCTGACCACACCTGCTCCCCTCCTTGAATTTTCAGGAAAAAAGTTTGTACTTTCTATTAGGATTATTACTGCTTCTGTTGCTATTACTATTGGAAATATGATTATCATTATCTTATGAACATACCAATGGTGATGAAAAGAAGTCTCAAAAAAACAAGGAAATGAGTAAATAGGTAAACAGATCAGGTAGGCTGTATTTGTAAAATAAATAAATAAATAAATGAAATAAATAAAAACAAATAAATAAATAAATCTATAAACTTAAAAAAGACAGGATACTGAACCCATATGTACATACATTTCTGGTGTCGACAAATCAAATAATGCTAAATTCATGCAATAAAGAAAAAAGAAATATAAACAAATTTACTCTGTGTTACTCTGGCTAAAATTCAAAATTGTCCCTTCAATTCTAAACATCAAATAAAAATGAGAGGACACAAACCGTAAGTGATGTAGCCTTTGCTATCCTGATCTGCTTGCTTAAATATCCTGGTGGTCTCCTCGGGCGTCATGTCCAGCGATGCCCGAAGAGCCTTTATGAGATCGTCCAGGAGGATGTGGCCCTTCCCTCGCCGGTCGAAGAGCTTGAAGGCCCACTTGAGAGTGTCCTCCGTGTTGGCTGGCTGCGAGTACTGGCAGTATCCTATGAGGTATTCACGGAAGTCTATTGTGCCAGAGTTATCCTGAGGTGAAGAGGAGGATTGAATATAAAAAGAATAAATCAAAGAGTTCTGAAAAGAAAGACCAAACAGAAACAGTGAAGAAAAGAAGATACAGTCTTGATTTATGTATATACATGTAAACTGCAATGATTTGTAAGTGACCATGTCGAATCCAAATGATTTTTGTGGTGGTGCCGAGGTGAAATCTTGTGGGTTTGAAAACAGATATGAAACCTAAATACACTGATGTTATCATCATTCTATCTTTTCCCTTTGAGCTTAAAAGAATGAGAAAACTGGAATCATGTATACAGACAGGAAAATAAAACATCTATATTTAGGTCTGACAATGAAATACATCAGCTACATTTGGCTACATTTCCTATTATATTCCAAATATATACTGATGGCAGTCATATAAACATATACTCATAGACTTCAGAATTGTACTTAACTCTAAACTTGCCATACACAAATTGGTTCAGCAAATTCAATAGTTCTAGGCAATATACAAATTTAAGTTTTTAAAATGTAATCCCAGTACTTTCATGATATACTTTCTATCAAAAAAATGGAAAGAAAAAGAGCAGAATATCAACCCAATAGTTGCAGATGGTATGATAAATCCACTGAAATTTTAAACTCTTAATTGTGTTTACACATAGATGGCTCCATAAGTACTTTGTCACCAAGGAGTCGATTGTAAGTCCTACCTATCTCACCTGTTTATCCTTTTTTTTCAGAAAGATTCTCATTTATTCTTTACTGTTAGAAGTATCTCAACATTATTATAATCGCATTAATAACAGGATCAATATTAATAGCATAAAAAAAAAAAAATCAAGGAATGGGGAAATCAAGTGAGGTCACACTAATGATTAATTAATTGATTCCTTTGTGGATGAGCCATCTACGCACTAAAACCTACAGCGGACAGCACATGAACCCTTGACCAATGGGGTTAGTCATATCAAAATAAGGAATTATTAAAGGACCACATGAACTGATGAAATAAACCACATTAGTAGAAGAGTAGCCATAATCATGGAATTCTACATTTTTGGCTAATACTAAGTAGTAAGGTAGTTTTGAGCAAAGTTTTATGCTGATGAATGACCTAAAACAGATCCAGAGATGAATAATAACAACAACAATAATAATAATAATAAAAAAGGTAAATTACATAAAATAGATCTTTCTTCTGAGAGCCTAAATCCTGAAAAGTCAGCTCTGTCTTCACCCAGTACAGGTATGACCATTAATGGTGACTGTAATCTATGCAAACCATTTTTCAGTGTGGATGCTTGTGGATGATGTGTAGTTAGGTGGTCAGTAGATACCCACAACACTTATTCTCTACCAGCAGTTCTCTTTTCAGATGTGCAGAGAAGTTATCTAAAACAAGCGTTATCTTACTATTGTGATCAAAGGCAAGAGAATTACAGTGAGCTTTAGTTCAAGGACAAAACAATTCTCAAACCAGTCCAATGTAATGTCAGTTGTTATCCATCCTTTCTTGTTTGACATAAATAATAACAGAAGACTGTCAGGCTTTTGAAAGCCCTGTGATGTAAACTTTATTGATGACCAACAGTCAAGCAGTGATATGATCTCTTGATGCTTAATAATCTATTGGTGATCATTCTGCGTTGTTGTAGTTAGAACTTCTCAGCAAATATTTCCAGCATAATACAATTTCATCAGCATTATAAACCTGCTCTGAACTTCCTTTCCCATATTCTACTAACTTGGCAAATTTGCCCACAAATTTAGCAGCCCCTTCCTTGTCTGTTGAATGTTTCTCACCACAGACTGCATGAAACTTTAAACTATGCTGAGGTTTGAACTACTGAAGCCAACCTTCACTATAATCACATTTGTAATCCAGTCCCATTTCTTTGAGAAATATTTTGGCTTGTTCTTTTATCATATGACATGTCAGATCAACACATTCCCTTTGGTGTAGTCTAAAGCTCTTCATAAGAACCTTCTTCAGTTCCGTATTTTTACCTTCATTCATGGATTTCCTTATACACATCTCTTTCACCAAGCAATTTAAACAATATTCCTTTCTGTTTCTTTATGTCTTAACAAGCTTTGCACAGATATGATGCTATTGACTTTTGTCAAAAGTTCAACTATATCTGTGACTTGGGCTAAATGTCAGCAAAGTGTGATAAAATTCACAAAAGACATTTGAAACTGTTTGTGAAAATGAAATTAGTGCTTAAAAAATTTGGTGAACAGCATAACTGACTGCCAGAAAACTAATTGTTGACCTGTAATACATACCAAACTGTCAGTAATCAAAGTGAAATATGCAAGCTCCCTTTAGAGGTTGAACAAAGTGAACATAAACTTTACAAAAACTTACCTTGTCATAAAGGTGGAAAAGTTCAACAAGAGCTGGTTCGTGCTCTGGTATTCCTAAATATTTTGCAAAGTCAGAGAGAGTTATTTTGCCATCACTGACAGCAATGTCTGCATACTGAGTCAGGAGTTCTTCCTCAACATTCTTCAAATTCAGACTGGAAAATAATAATGGTAGAAATAATAATAATAATAATAATAATAATAATAACAATAACAATAATAATAATAATAACAATAATAATAATAATAAAAAAAACAATAGTAATGATGATAATACTAATAATAATAACAACAAGGATGATGATGATCATGATAATAAATATAAAAAATCTTCTTTTTTATACTATATTAACTATTGTGGAATCATATACAAAAAGTTCTGTCTGCCATGTAAGGGGCTTCTATTACTACTAGCACTACCACAAAAGAAAAAATGCATTTTGCTTAAAATAGATAAATTACAAAACACATGAGATAAAGACATCCTAAAATACATACCCAAGGCGATAGCGGAGCTTTTGGAACTCAATCAATCCAGTCTGGTAAGGCAAATTTTTGAGTTTGGCCTTGTGCATTAGTCGGCAATCGTCATAGGTGTAGTCTGCAACAGGCACACCTAGGGCACTGGAAAATCATGGATTTTATTAATAAATTTGGGTTGTATATCAAATAATACCATTTCCACTATCTAAATAAAAAAAATCACCTATCTATAAACAAAAGGGAATTACCTTCAGTATGAAAATGTATTTGTGTTATTGAGAATATTACTGTCTTTATGTAATTTCTGTTGGCTAGTAACTTCATCAAAATGACTTTCTAATGAACAATTACACAAGTTTCTAACATACCTGCCTCTGGTAATATTTTCTATTCCTAACATCAGAAAAGGATGAAGAAAATAAGGAGGAGGGGAAGGGAAAGGAGAATAAGGATGAGGAAGAGAAGGAGGAGAAGGAAAAGCAAAGGGAGAGGAAAAGATAGAGGAACAGCAGGAAAAGGAGCAAATGGAGGAAGAAAAGTAGGAAGAATTGGAGAAGAAAACAGAGAAGTTTAGGAGGGCAGAAGCAGATGAGTCTGAGGAGGAGGAGGGGGAGGAGGAAAGGGAGTCAAAACAGAAAGAAGATAGGCTTTCTGACCCTATCATAAATCATTCCAATGATGAAAAATACAGCTAATAAACTTACTCTGCCATGACCTGCCGCACATTGTTAGCAAAAAGTTTAGCATCTCTCTTTTCCTCCTCACTGGGGGTATAAACTGGGAGATACTCAAGCTCACAGAAATTATGGAACTGACACAAGGTGACCCAAAGCATCTTCAAGCTGCAAAGAAAGAATCCAGTCTTTGAGAAGGTTCATAAAAATACAAATCAACATCAATCTAAAAAAGAGAGACAAGAAGAAGAAGAAGAAGCAATATCAATGTATCTCAATCCAACAGCAAAATCCTTAAGCACATCATCGGACAGAAGACTTACGCTCCTGGACCATCCCAAGTCCACGTGAAAGAATCCGTGCGATTGGGGTAGCGGATGAGGACTGGCTGTACAGGCACTCCTGGGTAAAATGCTCCTGGCTTGAAGGTAATGAGGCAGGAGCGATTGGTGCAAGTCCCCTCTGGGAAAATCATTACCTGGAAGAGGCCAAATAAATTATGTATTCCTTAATATGTTCTGTGCAATGCGACCCACTGGTAGGTTATGATGCATTTAATCTTAATTTTCTTTAATATTTTTTCGTTTTATTATATAATATTAGTATAAGCCCATAATACATAATAAAAAAAGTCAAAAGTATACATATTTAGGACAGAAATACAATTTTCTGGGAGAGAGAGAGAGAGAGAGAAAAAAAAAATATTAATGTGTTCAGAGATAATATCTGTTTTCCTAACATTCTGAAAACAATTTAAAGACCACTTATACTTACCCTTGTCTCCTGGTTATCATTCTCACTTGCATACATTTATACATTTTGCCATCCCCACTTGCTGAGTTTCACATATTTTTTTCTCATTTTTCATAAATATAGAACCCTGCATATAGCTTGAACCTAATGAATTGATCCACTGAGTGCATGCTCCTAAGTGGGTCATATCACAGACATCTATTCTTTCCTCTAAATGCAATTTGACCCACAGCTATATACATTTTTATGAACCTAGCAGACTACAAACCCATAATTTCCTTACTCCCTATGAATTTGGCTGCAGTATATAATATTTTCCAAGGCCAAAATATGCCTTAAAGCCTACTTTTGAGAGCCTGTAACTCTTCTATGACTACATTCATGGCTAATGACTTGGAGCAGGTTCAGTGTTTGTGGATGGACATGTCACCTACACAGCAGACCAGTCATGCTATGACATGTAAATACATGCCACCCACAAGCAATAGCTTAATATCATTATCTAAACACATCTTACTTGATGAAATACACCTGACATCCACAGCACTATATAACCTCACCTGCGGCCAGTCCTCGTCACTCGTTGCCCGACGCTTAATCTCCTGTATTGTGTTCTGTCGAGAATTAGTGTCTTCACGCCATACATACACAGGTTGCGTATAATCAATATACTCTGTAAGGCGAAGGGACAGATAAGATAAAATGAATAAGAAGTGGGTAAATGAAAATGGTGATGTTTAATCAAGAACTGAGATCAAGCAAGTGGAACTTAATAAAACACTGCTTCCAATTTCTGAATTCATTTTAAGCTATCTTGTTTTCTTGTTAATGTCAATAGTTGTCTAACAATATACTGAAATACTTTTGCCTCAAGTATCAAATAAAGAGTAAATCAAGAACACTATACAATTTTGCTGAAAGACAGAGAGTAAATGAAACAGGAAGCACAGAAAGACTGTACCTCTATTTGTAA